TTTTAAGTACATTCTTTTTTCTCTTAGTAAAAATAAATTGGTGGACTGAAAAGGAAATACCGGAAAGAAGAAGCACATTTATAAAGCACAAGGAAAAAAGCATGTCGTAGTTAATTAGATGAATCTAAAAACATTTCAATTCGGGCCGTGGACACCAAATTTCCTGTAATTTGATGCTTATTCGAATAAAATTAGTTCAAAAAATAACTTAATGTAATTTAATAACTTAATATGAATTAAAATTTACAGAAAGGAACTTTTTCCAATTCATACTACTGAACAAAATGATTAGAACGTTTAAGTAGTTCTAAAATTTTTCTTAATTTCAATAATTACTCATGTTGTATTGTGATGTAACAAATATGCAAAAACAATTACTAGTATTTTTTTTAGTTGTATTAAATTTAAATGCTCTATAATTTTTATTAATGTATTTAACAAAACAAAGAAATATTTCACCCACTAATTTTTTATTAATTTTTTAATTAACTTTTTCCTGAATTTTTTTATTGACGAAAAAATTAACTAAATTTTTTTTTAGTTTTATTCAATTTAAATGCTTTATAATTTTTGTTAATGTTTTTAACTTATGAAAGGATTAAGCCCCTGACAGACTATTATTAATTCGTACATTATTCATAACAATATTTTTGCATATTAATTATTGGATAAAAAATTAGAAAAGTTTCTTTCAGAAAACATGAAATTTTAAACATTGTACATCAATTAAATTTCAAAAAAATATCTAATCATGTTCAAATAATTATTTAATTTAATTAAATTTGAATTTTGAGGCCCGAATTGAATCGTTATATAATAGTTAATGAGGTGCTTTTTTTCGGGCTTTTGTTTGCAAATCCATGATTCATATGAAATATTTATGCAGTGTGGTAAAGCAAAGATTAATATCGTTCATTTGAGTCAATATGGTTTATTATTTGAATTCTCACCTACAAAAACAAACAAAAAACAAAAACAAAAAAAATTTTTTTTGAGTAACAATATTAATAGTATACAATAAATATGCCAAATATAAAAATACTGTGTCAAGATTTTTCTATCATTATTTAAAGTAATCCCACTGGGTTTGGATTTTTTTAGAACTATATTTTTGTTATGTACCTCCGCAATAAGTAAGTATTTTGAATAACTGAAAAGTAAAAAATATTTTTGTAAAAAACATGCAATTGAAAATAATATTAGAATTACGAATTAAAACTGAAAAAAAAGAGTATTCCCTCATTTAAATAGCATAATAATTTCATGACATGTTAGTTTTATTCTAATTGACTTGATAATTTTATTGATGTAACTAATGTTGCAATGTTCAGTTTCTTTAATCATAAAGAAACATTCAATGGTTTGATTGTTACAAAATGGTTTGTTTTAAGTATTTTATACTATTTTCAGCAACAATAATTCTAGCCCAAATCCAAAACACTACTCTTTTTATATTTATATTAAAAATTAACTGAATACAACAAAATATAAATCTTGAATGGAATATTATATTAATTTATACAAGACAGAATAATTAACTGATTATAATTTTATTTATGGTTGAGCATTGAAAGTATACATAAGAAAATGCACCGAGAATTAGAAATAAAATATTTATTTAAATGAAATTAGATATTTTTTTCGAAAAATTAATTCAGAATAAACGAAAAAGAACTTTGTTAAACTTCATATAGTTGGGCGTAACAGTTAGAACCCTTGTGCTATCTAAATTATTCTAGATTTCGATAAATTTCATTTATTGTATAGTCATTAAATAACATACGATTAATACTTTTTTAACTAGTGTTTTTTTTTTTTCAATATTGTATTTAACTTTCCTTTTCCTATTCCTTTATTAATTTTGTTGCTATTTTTAATTAATCAAAAGATTAACCTCGTTGGAGATAACTGTTAATAGAGACAATATTTATAGCAATACTTTTATATGCTACATAATTATATTTTCTGTTAACAATATATAAAAAATTAAAAGTTCTTTTTAATTAACTTAAATATAAAATTTTTGCATTAATTAATAATTTTAAAAATATTCAATTTCGTTAGAATAAATAAAAATATTAAATTACATTACAGGTTAAACTGTAAATATTTCGCGTGTTCTTTTTTTAATAAATATTTCAATTATTTTCTGATTTTTACTATTATTTTCGAGAAAGCTTATTTAGACTGTAGATATAAGTCAATAGTTAAAAAAAAATTTCCTCAATTCCGAAAACGGTTACACGAAATACCGAAAATTATTTACGACGTAACACAATAATGCATGTATAAAACATAAGAAATGAAATAGCACATGCGATATACAGTTATAAAAATTATAACAGTTATTCTCGAAGAGAAAAAATTTCACCTCAAAAATTATTAATCTGAATCCATAAAAAGTACCAAAATTGCTTTTTTGATATAAATAAAATATATCAATGATTATGCACGTTATTAAATTTAAATTTAAAAAAAATAAGACAACTAGGCCAACATAAAAAGGTAAAAGGAATTCAAAATAAAAGTGAAGGGATTTGGCCAATAAAATGATGTAAAATTTTTCCAAACAAATTATTTCATATAAAACTGCTCTTGGTATTATTTACAGGTAGGTAGCTTTTTTAATAACAGTTAAATTTTTCATTCGCCTCGTAAGATCTTTATTATTATTTATTGACTTCATCTTATTTATTGACTATTATATTATTTACTGACTTCATCAAAAATTCTAATTTTACTTTCATAAATTAAAGAGTTTTTTATTTACTTCTACAAATAGTCTTCAGCTTACAAAATCAAAATATCCAAAATAGGCATTTTTTACTGTGAGTTTTTAAAGGTGAGTGAATTTTGATTTAAAAAGTATGAATAAATTAAAATGTATAATTGATAAATTTTAGTTTAAATAATTTTTTCTGAATATAAAATCTTCTGCTTAATTTTTTTCTGAATATAAGAAATTGGAAATCATGTAATAATCAAAAACTTTTTATGGTCATTAAAATAACTTGGTTTAAAACTATGTGTTGATTTATCTATTAAGTTATCTAAATTACATATATTGCAAAAATTAGCACGCATACATAACATGAGATGTCATTTAAATAAGCAAAATATTTCGCAAGTTAAACAGTAAATATTATGTGCTGTTAAATTATTTAAATCAAATATAATTATTTCTCATTACAACCTCTTAAAATATAAAGAATATCAAAATGAACAAAAGAAATATCTAAATAATAGGTAGACAACGATAAGAAAGATAAGTCGTAATTCTTAATCTTGTTACTTTATTTTAAATCCACCTAAATTAACGTTTTGAAGTATTATTCATTATTTCTTTAGTAAATTAAATAATGAAATATGGGTAAAAACTTATTCAAGATCCTTTGTGACTGATGCTTTTTGTAACAATGATATGGAAATTTTTGTATAAATTTTTTACAATGTTAACAATTGTATGAAAACTCAAAAAACAAATTAAAATTTTTTGTCATAACTGACACAATTATTAAAAATAAACATGTTTTTTCTAATATGAAACAATAAGATCCAGGTTAAAATATGATACAGGTAAAAATGATATAAAAATATTAAGCGTCCAATTTTAGGCAATAACATAATAAAAAAATTTGAAAAATTTTGATCAAAATCACCGACATCACTCATTCTAACATTTTCAAAATGATGATTCCAAATTTAAGAAATCTTTCATATTTTCAATTGATACATTTTCAGCTGTAAAGGAGAAGTTTCCGAACAACAATCGATAATTTATAATATTAATAATTTACGTCTACAAAGAGATACATTTTTAATATAAAAAATTGATACACTAAGACATACATGTAAAATAAAATTTTCAATTTCCCTGAGTAACAAAAAAGTATTCAGAAGATTTTCAATTATATTTATCGTTTAGATAACATGATAATATCAAAACGAATAATTATATGTATTTTACTTCTACAATACATAGTTCACAATATTTTTCTTTGACATTTTCAAAGAATTTTTATTTTTAGCTAAACATTTGCAATATGTTGGATCTAAAATATCAATACTTTAGAGTACTGCAAATACAGTACCTTCTACAAAATTAAGTAAATCGTATCAAACATACTTGAAATTGCAAAAATGTGAGAAAATTTTTTTTAATGTTATCTCTTCGACAAAATTTCTTCAATCAATAATTTTAAAATTGCAAAAAAGAAAATGAAACATTCACACACTTTAATTACAATCTTTAATTTGTTTACCATGGTATGAATTTTCGTTTTAAAAATTATCAAAAAACTAGTTGAAACAAATATTTTTATATGCAATTTTGGTACAAAAAATATTTTTTAAATATTTTAAATATACTTACTGTTTTTTTTAAAGACAAATAAAATTATTTGCTATAAAGTTTTGATGAATTGATCGAACATTTTTAAATTATACAATATACTCTCACTCTTTAGTATGACATCATACCTGTCGTTGCAACAGTGTTTACAGATTTGATATTCACAAGAGTCTCCTTAATTAGTTTACTTTTTTTGTATTTTAGCAGTTTAAGCAAGCAAAAGTAACAAATATTTTTGTATACCGGAAAAGATATTAAGCGAAGCTGGATATATTTTTAGGTATTAAAATAAAATTCTTTGCCTTAAAGCTTTTATGAATAGATGGAAATTTTAAAAATTGTAACGTATCCCTGTGTTGATTGCTCAGAAATAATTCACAGTTGAAAAGAATGTTTGAAGAATAACAAATAAAATATTCAAAGACATTTCAAGATATTTATTTAGTTTTTATCATCTCTTGACAAGTAAAAAGCATACAAAACGACTTGCAGCATTTTTTTTTTGGGGGGGGAAGGGGAGTCATTTGCTATATTTTTTAATAAATATATTTCAGAAATTTTGTGTGACAGTTTGACAATTTGAAAAAAAATTCAATAAGATTATTTTATTAATTTTCAAAAAAAAAAAAATCAATAAATGATAACATACCTTTTTGTATTGATTGTATTCCTTTAGTAATAATCCACAATATTCGATCGACAGTAACACAACTTAATTTCAAATAAACGCGAAACATCTCTTAACACAAGAAAACATTTAAAAAAAAATAATTATAAAAATTCTAAGATTTCTTTCTTCCTACCTCAATCCAAGACGTTTTACCCTCAAAGCAATCACGTGTTCGTTTTTACAATTTCTTTTCATCACTGAATTGCGTAAAAAAAGGAGGAGGATCGGGGAAGAGGGGGTGGGAAAAAAGTCATAAACAAGCTGCCCTCTGTTTATGGGTTTAGTAGTGTCAGTTTTATTACAGCTATATTGTTGATGACGTCGTTGGACATGAAATTACTGCACCTTATCTTCTGGCTGTTCCCTGCTCCCTCCCCGCACATACCCCCTAAACAAGCATTTAAATTTGTCAACAGTTAGTGTCTTTAGTGATTATGATTTTTTTCTTAATGTCATTGTTTTTGGAAATTAACTAGATAAGGAAACTTAGTTTTTTTATACAGAAATTATTTTTTTATTCATAAATAAAATCAATAATTTTTTTATTTAGTAGTTTTAATTTTTTTCTTTTAGGCAATATTTATGGAAATAATAGTGTATTCCATAAAATGTTCAAAATAACTTAGTTCAAGGTCATTATATGTTTAGTCAACAAATAACTCGAAACAATTTGAAATTAAATTCTTTGAAATTTTTTTTTTTGTGACTTTTCCGTCTTCAATTTAAGAAGCTTGTTAATTTTTAATTAAATAACAATTTGCGTTGGACTCAAGATTTAAGCTTTGTTTAATATTTATTATAAATAGTTTCTCTTAACATAAAATAGAAGCCAAAAAGTTTAGATCTTCGATTTTTTTTTCCACGCTTATTGAATTTGGGTATTTTTAACAAATGATTATTTTTGACAAATCATAACTAAATTTGGTCCAGTTTGGAATAATAGTTTATTAAAAAAAATTGAACAGAGGGGGGCATGGCAAGGGACATTTGCAGACCATATTTGTAATCTTATGTGATTTCCATCTAATTTCATAATAAATAATTTGAAATATTTTCTAAATTTTCAAAATTCCATTAATTTTAAATAACAACTCAAGATTTGGGTATCGGTTAGTATTAATTATGACGGAAATTTTCTGAAAAGAAAAACACACAAGTACAATCATATACTTGATATTATGATCGCATGTATGACTTAAACATGAATCTTTTTTTAAAAAAATTAATAATAAGAATTTTAATTTTTCCTGTTTTATGTCACTTATTTATTTATTTTTTATTTATTTAAAAAAAGAAAAAATGATGTAGCAATAATTTTTATGAAATTTAACGCAGAAATTTGCAAAAAATCATGATATACATATCCTTGTTCTGGATTTCATATAGTTTCGGAATTACACCTGTGATACTTCTCGATGTTTATCAAATTTACATTTCAACGCAAAAATTGTGAAAATCATAATATGCGTATGGTTTTCACATGTTTTTTTTTTAAAAAAAGCAAATACAGATTAAGAATTTTATTTTTGCAGTGTCCTGAGATTATTTAATTTGTAACAGAAACTTTGTAAAATTATAATCTTCGTATACTTAGAGACAAATTTAGTGAAAATAAAATTCAGATTTGTCTCATATCTGAATTCAGCTGCTCATATATATAGCAGCAGACTAATAATCTGCATATCATTGTTTTCCATTTAAAATATGATGCTGATCGTGAACTTTAATCTAAGGATTTTCCAACGTTTATTTAATTTATATTTAAATTTAAAAAAAATGTGACAAATCTTACTCCGAGTATCACTGACGCGATAATTTTTTAAATGACAAATACAGAACAAGAATAAAATCTTTCATATTCCCAACAGTTATTTTATTCAAGCTAAAGAGTCATATCAGAATCAGAATTTGAGTGTTGTTAAAGAAAACTCACTTGAAATAAGATACAAATTAGAAATTTAATTCATGAATTTTTTCAACTTTTTCCTAGTTTAAATTTAAAAATCAAAACAGAATAATAAACTCTATATCGTTAAACCAATACAAATGAAAACTTTTTAAATATTGAAATACTACTTTTTCTCTTTTAAACAATTATGTTTAATATTTCTTACTTCAAACTAATTTCTAACAATTATAACTAAAATTTATCAATGCAATATATTTACCAGAATTTGAAAACATAAAATCTGTCCATGTGTCTATTTAAGTAAGTAATATATATAAATGAATGTAATATATACAGTCAAACCCCGCTACAGTGAACACGGTATATAGTGAACTCCCGGATATAGTGAACGAAATGTTCGGTCCCGTGCCTTGCTATACACATATAGTGTTGATTTTTGTAGATATAGTGAACCAAAAAAGTGAGGAAGTTGGATATAGGGAACTTTTTTCTGTCTTCGACTGATTTTTTCTCTCATTTTTTTTGTAATAATTTTAAAATTTCTGCTTCAAAATAAATACATATACCGATTTTTAAAACCATTTATAGAGGGTAATGTGGAGATAAGCATTTTTTTCTGTTTGCTTCATTATGCATTTTCTGTCAGAGGGAATGAGTAATTATTGGTTAAAGAGTTGGACACTAATATCGGTTGATAAGGCCCTCAATAATCAGAAACATTGAAATGGATGCAATCAAGCTGATATTTGCAGGGAACATAAACTATCGAAATCTGCAGTTTGTAACATATGGAAAAATAGGCAATTAATAATTTCTGCTCATGAAAAAAATTTAGCTGGCAGAAAAAAGTTGAAAAAAGCAGATCAGAAGGATGTTGAAGAAGCATTGCTGAAGTTGTTCACAAATCGAAGAAGCCGCGATCTTCCAGTATCTGGACAAATGTCGATGAATTCGCTAAGCGATTTTATGATGCTACTTTTATGTGCTCGAATGGCAGGTTAGATAGGTTTAAAAAGCGGAATAACAGAAATTCAGAAAAAATTATCGGAGATGTGGGAAATGTTTCCATATCTGATGTTGAGGATTGCTCATCAGCTAAATATTACTAATATTTATTTTGTACGCAAGACGAAGAGTAATGAAAAATAACACTTTTTTTGCTACTGCATAATATTTTTCAGTCATTTATTTAAATAATGTGTAATAAAAGGGAGGAGTTTGAGAACCATTAGTTAAAATGCCTGAGTAACGGATATAGTGAACTCCCAGTTATAGTGAACCGAAATTTCAGTCCCTTGAAGGTTCACTATAGCGGAGTTTGACTGTATAATGAATTTTTTGAAAAATTTTCTAGAATTATGGATACACAATTTGTGAATTTAATGCAATAAAAAAGCATTACTTCTATGTATTACTACTTTTGACGATAATCGCGCATAGAATAATACACAGAAAAATCCAAGAAGATTAAAATATAGTTTTTGTCTATTTTTCCACTCGTCAATTTTTTTTTAATTTTAACAATTTAAAATCATTAAAAAAAATTAAATGTAGGTCGATCTCGTTTAGATTATTCACATTCAGGATTTTTAGATGAAAAGGGCATATCTACATTGAAATACTATTTCCAGGAAACGGAAAGTCACCCATTAGGAGAATTAAAAATAAATGGGAGAATTAGAGCAAATAATTTATAAAAGAAAGTCATCAGAACAAAAATAAAATAAAATAAGATATTGTATCCACAATTTTTCCTTTTGATGAATTTATGTCAAGGATGGAGCATCATTTAGTAAATATTACTTTATTGAAGCAATCAATGTATGCAAACATTAAAAAAATAATTTTTTTTTCATTTGTCAAACTTAAAATAGGAATTAACATTCAAATAATGGAATTCTCATAAGCTATTTACAGTTTTATGAATAAGTTGCAATTGTTTTGTTTCTAAATTATCAGATAGCTTTTTAGAAATAATGTAATTTCATAAGCAATTACTACGGGTTTCGTTAAGCACTGAAATAATCTCAATATATACTATACAAAGCATGAAAATATTCAATAATAATAAAATAGAGAATTGTAGGGATATAAACAACAAATTAAGACATAAAAATATGTATTATAGGAAAATGTATATTATTACATGTTACACAATACTACATGATATAGATACTAAACAACACTGCACATTATATTGAGTTAGCTACTAATTTCAGACCTTTTTTTTTCTTCTTTTTTTTGTTTGTTTGCCATTAAATATTTTTGGAATATTGCTTTAAGTTACTTGAAAGAGGATGTTTTGTGCTGCCGGAAAATATGGATCCTTTTTTCCGAGAAAATTTATGTTAATTTACAGGTCATTAAAATATAATGTTAAAATATAAGTTTAGAAAAAAGAGCATTTTCAACTCGTTTTTTTTTAATGATTTTTAATCAAGGTTCTGAATAATGCTAAGAATTACTACTGGTAAGTTACTACTAGTAACTAGTTAATTACTTAGAAGTAATAACTAAGTAATCAAGTAATAAATATAAGTTACTACTAAGTAATTCTTCTTAAGGTACTAAATAGTGATTCTTAACCAAGGTTCCGCAAAAGCTGCTTGCGACATATGTGCCGTGTATGAAGATGGTTAATCAAGGGAAGAAAAAAAAAACAGAAAAAGCACGTTAAAGAAAACACCTGAAAAGAGTCGATGTAATACCACAAAAAAAAAAAAAGAACAGAATCATTAAGTTTTATTAGCTACCTCATCCTTCTCTAGAGAGGATGAGGTAGCTAAAAAAAAAACACTCATGATTAGTACGCCAAGATTGAAAATGTAAATTTTAACCTCAATTACGCAACTTATTCTAGCCATTTAGTTGAGTTTGATGAGATTAATTAATACTCTCACACTTTTTTTTACAAAATGGTGGCAAGTTAGTTGCTAACCCAACATGACGTATAACAATAAAATAATACATAATATAATAATAATACATCAGAAGTAAAATAATCACACATAAGTAAAATCAACATCAAAAGTAATCGCATAAGAAAAATCAAGTTATCATAAGTAAAAATAATAAGAAAGTTGATATTGACAAATATTACACTGATGAACCTTTGAATTTAAAACTTCGCGATCATATATAACCATATTTACTATATTTCCAATTGATTGTCCAAGTGTATAATTGGTTTTTCAATTCCATACGTGCATCAGTTGTATTTCTATCATCAAAGGCATGTATCTGAAAATTATAACAAAGCCATTAGTCTATTTAATAGATGAAATAATCAAACTGAAATATTTTTTTTCCGGTTCATTCTACGAAAATTACTTTTTTTGAAAGTTGTAACATTTAACTAAATGTGATTAATTTTTTCAGTTTTTGTATGTTTAGATACCGGTTTATTTAAATTTTCAGTGAATAAAGTAAATAAAGGATTTTAATAAAAAATTTAAAATTTATAAAAATTTAAATCTTCACTTATGAATAAAAAATTTCGTATGAGTCGTATTAATGTTTAGACCTTGATTAAAAATTTATCCCCATCCTTGGATTATTAATATTTCCTCAAAATTTACAACAAAAAATTTTTAATTTTTATTTCATTTTCTGAATATTTTTGGGGGGCTATTCGAATATTACACAGCCATATAAAGGGGTCTGATATACTTTAATTTTCACAGTAATAACTGTCCTAAAATCATTGAATCAATGCAAAAATTATTGTATAATATTTTGAGGTAAAAAATGGATTTTACCGATGATAAATGCAAAGAGCTGTTACATTATACCATAATTTGATCTGGAAAATTTTACGGTAGACATTTTTTGATATTCCTAAAAAAAATCAATGGTATTGACCAAATATTCCTTTTTTAAATGCTTATTAATCTAAGCAATTACTTTGATAACATAAAATAATACATTGGAATTAAAATCAAAGGAAACTTTAAAAAATATGTTTAAAGTTATGAATCAATTTACAATAAAAAATAAAGCATCATAATAAAGTATCATTTTTATTTTTTTGTTCAAAAATATTTCAGTTTTTATGTAATACTCAACCAGGCACTTTAATAAACCTTTAGATAATAGAAATGTCTTCTTCAAGTTTAGTCAGCCCATTTCAAATCTAGAAAAAAGACAAACAAAATTTTATTAAATTACAAAAGTTAATTTATAACTATTTAATAATTTAATGTTATCATTCGTCATTCTCGTTGAATATTTCAATGTTTAAGTTGTAGGCTAATTAGGAATTTCAGCACTTTTCAAATATCGCCACCATTTTGCAAACTGGAAAAGTCAAAAAGTCACTAATTAATCTGATTCTGCTTAGGCTCATTATAAACAACTAATATGCTTTTCGAGAAACAGAAAATTACTCAATCTCCCTAAATAACATGAAGAGGAAAACCACGAGAACCTACCACGGTTTTCCTGACGGCAAGGGAACTCTAACCCATGATCCGTCTACCACTGAGAATATTTTACTTCAGCACTGTGGTCGATGCAAGCCGGATGCGGAATTCGTATCGACCAGCTATCGCCGGGATCGAACCCCGATTCACCTCATTGGAAGGCGAACTCTCTATCCCCTGAGCCATCGCTGCTCTCTATCAGTCTAATTGGAAAAATGCTAAGGATTTTTCTAATAAGCCTGGCTCATTGTAAAGTGATGTGAATTGTTCACAAATAATGGGATTTGTCACTTAGCCTACGATATATTTATTTTATGCTCATATTGCTCCCTTAAAGTTCCTTTTGTTATGTCTTCATTTTAAACATAAAAGTTAAAAAATTTTGAACATTGATTAAAATTCTTCCTTTTCTTTGGATTTAATTTAAAGTCTCAGCGTGTGTATAAATTTCGTAAACTTATAATTTACCTATGAAGCTGTAATAAGGATTACTCTTTCATGTAAAAATTCTATTTTTGGAACATTAAATTTATCATGCGTAGATTTAAGTTTGTATTTACTAAATGTATGCTTAATTAACCAAGCGCTTGATACTAGATGCAAGTAATAAAATTATAAAAATAACACTTAAAAATATTTATAACACATTTTCACTGCAAAAATAATTAATGTCTGCCAGCAGTATTTATGAGCACAATTTTTCTTGAGATTTCAATTTTTTTTAATACTTTGGATAAAAAAGATGTAGGTGTAATAAAACAGAAGTTTTCTAAATATTTATTATTATAAAACAAAATTCAATCAAATGTGGCATTCAAAGAAATCCTAGATAGTTTTTGCTTAATATGTAAATGAGTCTGACAAAATTTTATGATTATATAAATCGCTGATTTGATAAATATTAAACTTTTTGTGACAGTTTTCTTTTTTAAAATTTCCTAATTGCCTTTATTATAAAAAGTTTTTCTATAAAATGAAAGGTGTTTTTCCAGTAAAAAAAATTATTATTTAAATAACTTTGTGTTTATATTTATTTATTTTAGTACTTCTATTTAAATTTGTCTAAAATGGGAAAATTTGAAGTATAAAATAATAATACTCAAAAATTGAGCGACAATGATTCTTTAAACCATGCTTTTTTCATCGTTTTTGTTCTAATCATCGCTTTTGTTCATTAAATTAAGGGTTATTTTCATATTGTCTGAATAGCGCAATCAAATTTCAAATTTGTGCTTACATCTATTTATTTAATTTAGTATTTCCCTCTTTATGTTTTACATGAAATGAAATACAAAACTTGTGTGAGGAGGATTTAAGAAACCAGTTTCTATGGCACAAAACCAAATAGGAAAAAGGTTTACTATAAACCAAGCCAATTTCAATGTTTGTATGAATTAAAAATTAATTTGTTGCTTTTTTTTTACTCAACTTTGCTTTTTTTTTAAATTCAAAGTTGCAACTTTTATTTTTATTCGTCTCTATGAGTATTCATCGAATTAAATTGCATACAAAGAAATTGAAATGTATTTTTAAAAGACAAATCATTCAAACATAATACAATAAAACCAAAATATGACAAATCCTCCTATTAATTTAAATCTTTTGCTTCACAACGCAATGCAAAACACAAACACTATCTAAATTTGGCGGTCAATAAACTGTAATAAAATCCAGTTGGCGAAGAACAACTTAAAAAGCCATTTCTATTGATGCGAAATGAAGAGATTACATCAATAAGACAGTTTCGTAAACAGCGCCAATTTCAACGCTCGCGGACACACAAAAGAAAAAGAAGCCAACTTTCAATAAAAGCTTCTCCAATACATTTTAAAGAAGATGTCTACTAGCATTGAGAGTAGTGATTTATACCCCGTCCAATAATAAAACGTTCGGAGCAGCAGACAAAACGGCTTAAAAGTCAATGCCGCAAATTTACGATCTTGTCTAAGTTCTGACTTTTTCGCCGGTAGCCTTATGTCGCTGAATGTTCAAAAAGCCAGTCTGTACTCCACCCTACAGAAAAGATTACCTAACCTGGAATATTCCGTTAGGTTAAATTTGGTATAATGGCGTTAGAAATCGGATTAGAGGGATTTTTTTTACTATCACCACCCTCTCAGGTTGGATGAAGTGTTCAAAATGAAAGGGTTTAAATGTGCATTCGAACACGAAAATATATTACTTGGGATTAAAATTTAAACTCTTTATCGTGTTTCGGTTTTCTTTATGAATAAAAATAAAGAAGAAAAAAAAGGATTACTTTTGGTGCTATTAACCGGATATTCTAACATTCTCACGCAGATGAAATTGCGAGATGGTAAAAATGATGCGACGCAGACACGCAGAGTTTTCTTTTTAACTCATTAGTGAACCACTAACGCAATCACAAAAGAAATTACATGAATATTTTATATTTTACCAAACGTGATATAGCGCTTTTTATTCAATATTTTTACTCCCAAATTTGTTTTTCGTTATGACAAGAAGAAAAATGATAAATTAACTGATTTATGTTGAGACGATAATTTGGAAAATGAATTTGAAAAATTTGATTGTAGTCTCATATTATCTTATATTTTGAATTTTTTGCCTCTAATTTGTAAATGAGAGAGGCTCTTTTCTCCGAAAAAAAGTTTTACAAAATTTTACGTTTTTTTTTTAACAATTTTTTTAAATAAATTTTTCTATTAAAGCAAAAAGAGTTTTTTAAATAACTTTTCGTATTTGTGTAAGAATACATATTTCAACGCTATTAATCTTAATAAACAGAATATTATTGACAAATTGCAATTATTGTTTAGAGTTTTTGATAATTTTAAAGATTGCTTTGCTTTTTTAAAATTAAATGTCATGAAGTATTATTAATGAATTTAAATTAAATTAGTAGAAAATTCAGAAAATCTATAAGAGTATTTACTTGAAGTCCGATTTGAAGTCAATTTCTAATTTTGTTTTTTTCCCCAAAATGTAAACATGACAAGCCTTTTTCCCGAATATTACGAAATTTTTTTTTTTCACTTTTTCAATTAAATCAACAACAGAATTTTTTTTATGTATTTTGCAATATTTTATCCTATTAAACAAAATATAATTTAAAAATTGCAAAAATTGGCTGCAATTTTCGCAATTTTTTATTAATATTTTGTTCTTTAAGATTAAATGTTCCAAAATATTAGTAAATCTGCATACCTGGAAGATACTCGTATATATTCATCGATGATGTAATTGTTTTATAAATGAAATTGATATTGTTCCTGTTACTAATGAAAAAGTGAACTTTGTGAGGAATTCCAGATCAAATTACGTTTTAAAATACCGGTCTTTTGAGTGCATCATCCATAAAGGCAATCTTATCGTAAAATATATTATACTGTAATTATTATAAGAATATTTTTTAATTGGAGTATATAAGGTTTTTTGTTCCGTAACATGGTCCAGAAAAAAATGGATATTGCGGTAAAAAGTGCCAGTTCTTAATACAGTAATTTGATCTGAAATTTTTTACAGTGTAGAACAAATGGAAGAATTAATATTTACAAACATTCTACAGTGAGCCGTGGTTGTTCAGGGGATAGAGCATTTGCCCCTCAATGAGATGATCCAAGTTCGAATCCCACCGTTGCCTGGTTGATACCAGTTTTGCTCCCGACTCGCAACGACCTTCTCTTGGTTTTCCTCTCCATGTAACACAATTTTGGGATAGTTCCATCGGAAAGTCTTGCACGAAGACGAATTTCTCCCAATACTGGACCCCTCGTCTTCTGGATTAGGTTTAAAGTTATAAGGCTATGATGTTGAACATTGATAGTCCTGAACTCAGAAATTTTTCAAAAGCAAGTCGTAATTTTTAAAAATAATGCAATTTTAAATGGTTTTTTTTTTTTTTTTTTGAATGAATGAGAAGTATTAATCCCTTGTTGTAGGCAACTTTGTTCATCTCTCTCGAGATGTGCTTCAGACAATAACTCTTGCTGGAGTTAATGTCCAAAATAACAAAAGAGAAAAATAAATTAAATATTGCCAGATATAAATCTTCACAATTAGGTAAAAAATTTTAAACATATATAAAAGAACTTAATGGAAGAGAGATAAAAACCTTTTTTAATTTAAACTGTTACAATGATATAAGGTTATCATAATGAGTAGTTAATAAGTAAAATTACTTCCTATTTATTTTTTCTTCTTGTTTAACACAATTAGTATTCTTAAGTTCATTTTTTATATGTTTTCAGTCGAATATTTTTCAAATTCAGATAATCATTCACTTCGTTGTGGTTAACAAGAGAACATTACCTCGAGAGAAATTTTTCATGGCAAATTCCGTTTTGTCTAAATTATTATTTCAAAACTTAAAATTTAGACAAAAGTCATTTCAGGTAAACCTGGAAAAAAAATCGAGAATATTCAAAGGCTGAAAAAGTGTTTTTAAATCATCAAAGTGCAGAAAAATTATAACAGGATTATTTCCCCTCTTTTTACTCATGAGAAGTCTTGTCATAAGTTAATTGCATTTTAAAGTTTTTTTTTTCTTTAATGTCTGCATGTTGAATTTTATGTTATGTTTTATTCCAAGTTTACCTACACTTATCCCTTTAAAATTTAAACTATTTATGTAGGCAAGTCAAATGATCAAACAGAAAGTCAAGTTAAATAATATTTTGAAACTAAGCACTTCTAGAAATTTTGGAGTGTGTTGAACCATTATATCTTT